GGCATTGGATTTACAATGATGGCCAAAGATCTTCCTGGTTTCTCTGTGCATGACTTTGGTAAGGGAGACACAAAAAATATTAGAGACCAAATATTGAGCATTAACAGGAAAAGTTTTACCACCAAGCAGGGAACCAAATACCTAGCAGACAGTCAAGACTCAATAGGAAGATTGGGGAGGAGAGGTGGGGTAAATCTTTTAATGCCAAAGACGATCTTTCCCCTATTAGGGAAATAAAGTATCCAAATATTGCTGGTTGGCTGGCAATACCTAGGTTTGTGGGTTATAGGGACTGGGGCAGATGAATATATGAAGTTCTCACCTTGGGACTATGGCATCAAGTCAGGAATGAAAGATGGCTAGCCTTGTCTTGTCCACATGTTGCCTATCTCTAGAACTATGTGCATGTGGTCCTAGGCCTTATTTCCTTTTTTAATCAACACAAATTTGGCCTCTGACACATTCCTACAGTATTTTCCCAATATAAGACAGTTTTCACAAAACTGGAACCCAGGAGGGCCATTCCAGTCTATCTGTCCTGTCTTCATCTTTAGCCAGGTGGTGGCAACTATTATGCTGTACGTGCATGGCTGCTGCTGGCCTCTGTCTTCTACTGAAGTGTGTATGTGTGTTTGGGGGGGGGGTGTTAGGGACATGTCATAAGGAAGTGTTCCCAGTACAAAGAGACTCTCTGGCATCAGCTGAAAGATTGGTCTCATCTAAGAATCTACCCCTTTTTGCGATAACTCCTGGGGCTATGGGCACCCCCTAAGCAGAGTTGGCCCGTGGTATGAGATGTTTGCACGTCCTCTTCTCTCTTCCAAGGTTCCCAAACCACTAACAGTCAGGCCTGCCCTTCCTTCGGCCTGGAGGAGAGCTGGACAGTGGCATGTCTCAAAACCATTTCTCTAGGCTCCTGGGGACATTTCTTCTCTCCTTTCCACTTCATTGGATTCTGCTATTAGCTGCCTGAAATGTCCCCCACCCCTAGATTTTACACCCCATAGTC